CCTCAAGCCTCACACAGCCCTTAGCAGTACCTATTCCTCCTCTCCTTGCTTCTCCTGAGCAGCCATTGTGCTGTCTTCCTTGGTGTGTGGGGGCATGCGTAGGCAGGAGCCCCAGGCAGTGAACTGTTGGAGCCTGCCAGGCTCTGCAGAAGGGATGAAGCTGTGCTATGCTTAACATGGGCTAGCACCTGCCACTCCTGGACATCTATCCAAGGCTGGCCACACCTCAGAAGGTGCTTCTCCCCAGTGCTGCCTAAGGGTTTGGTCATTGCTCTCCCTGCCTGCCCCCCCCCCCCATTCCTACTGCATTCTGCTACCCCTACCTTTACCTCACACACACCCGTTTTTCCAGACACCCTTAGAAGGGATATGGCAGCAACCCGAACTGGTACCTGCTTGCTCAGTCTGATGGGCTGAGGTCCAAGTTAGCCCCAAGGGCCTATCCTTTGAGCTGACCCATGGAGAACAGAAAGTATCTGCCAGAGAAAGATGTTACCATGGAGATGGACAACACGTGGAGGGAGTGGCTAGGGCACTGTAGAGGCAGAAGCAGAGAAGACAAAGAGGTCCTGACTAGTGGGAAACTTTACTGCTCCTGAGGCCAGTGAGGGAACATGGAGCCTCAGATAGAGTCATGTCCCCTCAGTAACCACTCCCTGCCCCTGCAAGGCTGGGCCCTGGACTACAGAAACAGTAGCCTAGCCTTGTGGTGTACAGGAGCATAGTATACCACTGATGTACACACAACCTGAAGAACATTGTTTAGTTCTCACAGTAAGCCACAAGTAATAGTAATAGTGCTCCTGTTTGTCCATAAGGCAACTACTATGTACCCAGCCCAAGGTCTCCACACAGTAATGATGGGAACTAAAGCTGCATCCCAGGACTAAGGATCTTAACTCCCTATTTCATCACCTCAAAAAGGTTCGTGTTCACTTATACCTTAGACCATTTTGTTTTAGGTCAGGAAAAAGAGCAAGAGGCAGAGGTTAGGTAGGATAGAGAGGGGGAAGGTATTAGAGAAGGAAATATCCGGGGCTGGGGGTTTAGCCCAGCGGAAGGGTGCCCGCCTGGCGCGCACAAGGCCCTGGGTTCCGTCCTCAGCCCTGGGGAAGAAAAAAAAAAAAAGACATAAAAGTTACAAAAGACCAAAAAAAAACAAGGCAATGGAGAAGGAAATATCCTCCTGCATTAGCCTCCCCTGTACCTCAGATTGCATGCACACACTCCCATGTCAGGATTTTTTTCTTTTCTTTTTTTTTAAATTTTTTTGGGGTCCGGTCGTGGGGCCTGAACTCTGGGTCTGGGCGCTGTCCCTCAGCTCTTCAGCTCAGAGCTAGCGCTCTACCACTTGAGCCACAGCACCACTTCTGGCTTTTTTCTTTTTGCTTATGTGGTGCTGAGGAATCGAACCCAGGGCCTCAGGTATGCAAGGCAAATCTTTTTCCTCAGGTGGCAAATCTGTATCATTTGTTTCTATTAATGGTAGATCTGGCTCTATTATTATTTTTTTGGGGGGGGGTCTGGTCATGGGGCCTGAACTCTGGGCCTGGGCACTGTCCCTCAGCTCTTCAGCTCAAGGATAGCGCTGTACCACTTGAGCCACAGTGCCACTTTCTGCTTTTTTCTTTTTGCTTATGTGGTGCTGAGGAATCGAACCCAGGGCCTCATGCATGCAAAGCAAGCGCTCTACCACTGAGCCACCTTCCCAGCGCCAATCTGGCTCTATTATAACCTGCACTTCTATTTAACATCTTCCAATAATCTTTTTTTTTTTTTTTTTGGACATGGGACTTGAACTCTGGGCCTGGGCACTGTCCCTCAGCTCTTCAGCTCAAGGCAAGCACTCTACCACTTGAGCCACAGCACCACTTCCAGTTTTCTGAGGGGTTTATTGGAGATAAGAGTCTCACAGACTTTCCTACCTAGGCTGGCTTTGAACTTCAATCCTCGGATCTCAGCCTCCTGGTCCTGAGTAGCTAGGATTATAGGGGTGAGCCACGGGCACCCGGCTTCCAGTAATCTTGATAATTATATGGGTATCATTGCTGCACTAAGCACAATTATAATACCAACACCTTTTTTTTTTTTTTGGTCAGTCATGGGGCTTGAACTTAGGGCCTAGGCACTGTCATTAGGCTTTTCTGCTCAGGGTTAGCATTCTACTACTTTGAGCCACAGCACCACTTCTGGTTTTCTGGTGGTTAGTTGGAGATAAATATCTCCGGGCCTTTCCTGCCCAGGCTAGCTTTGAATCATAATCCTCAAATCCCAGCCTCCTGAGTAGCTAGGATTACAGGTATGACCTACCAGCATCCTGCTTAAATACCTACTTTTTAATTAAAGGGTATTAGTTTTACCTTTAATTAAAGGGTATTAGTTTTACCTTTTAATTCTTTTGGGTATGTTTTATTATTGTTATTTTTGTTGGTCATGGGGCTTGAACTCTGGGCCTGAACACTGTCCCTGAGCTCTTCAGCTCAAGACGAACACTCTAGCACTTTGAGCCACAGTACCACTTCCAGTTTTCTGGTGGTTAATTAGGGATTAGAGTCTTACAAACTTTCCTGCCAGACCTGGCTGAACTTTGATCCTCAGATTTCAGCCTCCTGAATAAATAGGATTACACGGGTGCTCAGCTTGGATACGTTTTTAGAATCTTTTTTTATTGTTCTTTGTTTTTGTTTTTTGCTGGTTGTGGGCCTGAACTCTGTGCCTAGGTGCTGTGCCTCAGCTCTTCAGCTCAAGGCTAGCGGTCTACCACTTGAGCCACAGCACCACTTCCAGCTTTTTCTGCTTATGTGGTGCTGAGGAATCGAACCCAGGGCTTCATGCATGCAAGGCAAGCACTCTACCACTTAGCCACCTTCCCAGCCCCTTATTGTTCTTAAAGCTTATACATTAGCTGGGCACCAGTGGCTCACACATGTAATCCTAGCTACTCAGGAGGGTGAGATCTGAGGGTCATGTTTCCAAGCCAGTCTGGACAGGAAAGTCTGTGAGACTCTTTTTTTTTTTTTAATTTTTTTATTGTGAAAATACTGTACAGAGGGGTTACAATTACATGGGCAAGGTAATGAGTACATTTCTTATCAAGCATTGATGCCTCCTCCTTTGTTTCCCCTTTCCATCCCTTCCCATCAGCCCCCCCCACCAGCCAAAGTTGTAAAGTTCGTTTTTCAACATTATGACTTGTACATCTCATTGTTGTAATGAGATGTGAGACTCTTATCTCCAATTAACCACCAGAAAACCAGAAGTGGTGCTATAGCTCAAGTGGTAGAGTGCTGGCCTTGAGCTGAAGAGCTGAGGAACAGCACCCAGATCCAGAGTTGAAGTCCCATGACTGACCCAAAAAAAAAACAACTTATACTAGGTAGAGTTAGTATTGCATTCATATTTAGACTTCCCATCTAAGAATATGACATGTCACACGCATTTCTTAGATTGTCTATTGTCTCAATAAAGGATTATGGTGGGCTGGGAAGGTGGCTCAGTGGTGGAGCGCTTGCCTTGCATGCCTGAGGCCCTGAGTTCGATTCCTCAGCACCACATAAGCAAAAAGAAAAAAGCCGGAAATGGTGCTGTGGCTCAAGTGGTAGAGCGCTAGCCCTGAGCTGAAGAGCTGAGGGATAGCGCCCAGGCCCAGAGTTCAGGCCCCATGACCGGACCCAAAAATAAATAAATAAATAAAATAAAGGATTATGGTTTTCTTCTTATAGGCCTCACAAATTTCTGAACTTTATTGCTAAGTGTTTGGCTTTGTTGTTAGACTACAAATGGACTCTCTTATTATTATAACTCATTAGTTCCTCTTAGTATATTAAACCACTCTAAGTTTAATTAATTCTTCTGTGTTTTCTGTGCAGATGATAAGTTTGCAGGAAATCACAGTTTCGTTGGAGCCCTTGGCTTTACTTAGGAGCTCAAATGTGAAAGTAGAAAAGGGGAAGGATGGAGCTTGGAAGATGGCTTAGTGGTTGAGTGCTTGCCTTGCATGCATGAGGCCCTGGGTTCGATTCCTCAGCACCATATAAGCAGAAAAAGCTGGAAGTGGCACTGTGGCTCAAGTGGTAGAGTACTATCCTTGAGCTGAAGAGCTGGGGGTCAGCGCCCAGGCCCAGAGTTCAGGCTCCACTACTGACAAAAAAAAAAAGAAAAGGGGAAGGATGGCTTGACCCCAAGGTCAGGACTTCCCAATCTAGGGCAGAGACTGGGTATTTATGAAGTGCAGAACAGAGTACTGAAGTGAATTCATTCTGGGTGGACTGGGTAACCCGAAGTGTCTGTGGGCAAGGTAAGAGGAAAGGAGAGGGTTAAAAGGAGAAGTCGTGACCCTGGAGGTTTCAGAGTTGATACTTTTCCAGTTTGGGACCAAGATTTCTGATGGAGAAATGATCCCATTCTACAGCTAAAGATGCTGAAGTCACCAAACTCTGGTGGGTGACAGAACTAGGATCTGATCTGAGTGGTATTTTTGCTGTCCTGTGTGCTAGCTCACATTCTGTCTTTATTTTTCAGGTCTACTTTAGCAAAGTTGACTGAGTGCCAGGAGAGACAGCAGGAGGGGAAGGAGGCGAGTTCAGCAGAGCAGATAGGCGAGAGGGACAGGCTCCTGGTGGGCCCCCCAGCCGCTACCCTAGGGAGGCCGGACAGCTGGACCTTCATGTCTTCCTGTTGGGCCAAGAATCCCTTCAAACCAGAATAGCACTCCCAACAGCGTGCAGCCCCTACCCTGCCCTGCAGCACACTTCGTATCCTCTGTTCCACACTGGGCCAGCCAGATACTCACCCTTCACCATCACTCACCATGCCTCTGTCACACATGTCACAGCCCCTCACATGCCAAGGCCTTCCTATACCAGAGGCCCAACCACCCTTCTGTGCCTCATTTCCCGCCCATTTCTCACTTGCCTGTACACATATTGGGTTCCTTCCACTCACCTAGGACCACAGTCAGCTGTGTGCCCGGCTCATATCCGCTTACACTGTGTCTACAGAGTGCATCAGATGGCTTCTGGAAATCTGTGGCCACTCGAGTGCCCAAGGAGCCTCCAGAGATTCGCATCCTCAACCCGTATTTCATCCAAGAGGCCGCCTTCACCCTCATCGGACTGCCGTTCAACAATGGCCTCATGGGCCGGGGGGTAAGACGCGTGGATTCTTGAAAGAGGGAGGAGAAGGAGGACTGGGCAGAGGTGAGGAAGGAAGGAAGAGGTGGCAGGGTGGTTGGCAATCCCGGGAAGTAGTTTTGTGGGGAGGAGGGCTTAGAAATGGAGCTGCGTTAGCTCTGAGGAGCTCATGTGAGATCTCAGCCCTCCAGTGGAACTCTACACCCCTCCTCTCCTCTCCTTCTCCAGAACATCCCGACCCTTGGCAGTGTAGCAGTGACCATGGCACTACACGGCTGTGATGAGGTGGCTGTCGCAGGCTTTGGCTATGACATGAGCACACCCAATGCACCCCTGCACTACTATGAGACCGTGCGCATGGCAGCCATCAAAGAGGTTCGGGCCTGGGCTTGGGGGCATTCCTCGGCAGAGCCAAGGGAGGGGGCTTCCAGCACAGAGGACAGGCTCTGACTGCATGCGGACATGAACGGTAATGGGATGAGCCAGTTGCTCTGGCTGTCCAGAACTCCAAGGCCCTGCCTACCCTTAGCTAAGCAGTCACTGTCAGTTCATGCTGCGTGCGGGACTTTGACCAACAAGATCCTATACTCCCAACCTCCCCATAAACCCACACTGCCTTTCTGGAGCTGGACTCCTGCCATGATGCCTTCTCTGCCCTTGCCCTGTACCTGGCCCCTCCTTACCGCACCCTAGCAACGTATTTGAGACTTGGTACCAATTCACATCATCCTTTTTTCTATGATCCCTGCCTTCCCTCCAAGGAACATCACTTCATCCATCCCAGAAAGGTCCTCACTCCACACCTCCTCTCTGGAACCAAGCCCTGGTGCTATTTATCGCCTACAATTGCTGCCCGTACATAGGTACTCCTAAGGTGCCAGTTCTCCTGGCAGCTTTCTCCACAGTGAAGATCACTCCCACATAGAAATGGAACTCTCTTATACCTTAACTTCTGCCACAGCTTCCCACTGACCCCAGCCTGGAGCCTAGAGATCATGGGCAGGTGCCCTGAGCAGCTTTTCAAAGCACATCTGGAGTGGCTGGAAGAGAAATCCCTCATCAGTGCAGATCTGTATTTCTGTGAATCCAGGACTCTGGTCCTCACCAGCCCTCATTGCTTCATTACTGTTAATTAGTCTCCTTACCTGCCTCCCTCCAGCTCTACCATACTTTTCTTGAGCCTCACATTTCACAAGATCCCAGACATCCTCCCTCCTCCAGTGAGAAAGCTGAAGCTGTACAAGGAGCTTGATTGGCTCCCATTTCGGGTCCTTTGTACTCCTTACTGCCACTCAGCCCTTCATCCCCCCTCCTACCTGACATGATTTCTCACAAGGTCACCAGTGGCCTAGCTCAAGGCTGCCCAATCCAGTGGACACAAGTGGACAAATGGTCTTTTTTTTTTTTTTTGTCGGGCTTGCACTCTGGGCCTGGGTGCTGTCCCTGAGCTCTTCAGCTCAAGACTAGCACTCTCCCACTTGAGCCACAGCGCCACTTCCAGTTTTCTGGTGGTAAATTGGAGATAAGAGTCTCATGGACTTTCCTGCCTGGGCTGGCTTTGAACTTCGATCCTCAGATCTCAGCCTTCTGAGTAGCTAGGATTATAGGCATGAACTACCGGCACCTGGCTAGAACTGGTCTTCTGTGATCTCTCAGGAACAGTTGTTTCTGTCCTTGACCACTCCTTTCTGCTCAGGCTTCTACTATCTCTCTTTTTTTTTTTTTAATTCGCCCTCCTCTCTCATTTGCCTTTTCATTTCTCGTTTTGATCTACCCCTTAAAAATCAGTATTAGTTGGGCTGGGAATATGGCTTAGTGGTAGAGTGCTTGCCTAGCATGCATGCAGCCCTGAGTTCAATTCCTCAGTACCATGTAAACAGAAAAGGCTAGAAGTGGTACTGTGGCTCAAGAGTGCTAGCCCTGAGCACAGACAGGCTCAGAGACAGAGCCCAGGCCCTAAATTCAAACCCCAGGACCAGAAAAAAAGAAAAAGAAAAGAATCAATATTAGCTAAGGCTTTACCTTCTTACTCTAGTCTCCAAATTTACATCTCCCTCCACAGCTTCAGTTACTATATATATTTTATCAAACTTTAATATAGTTTATCTTGGTCTGTTCTGGCTATTAATGACAAAATACCATAGTCCACTTGGCTTTTAAAATCTTCAAGAAATGTATTTCTCACAGTCCTGAGTTTGGGAGTCCAAGATCAAGGGAAGACCAAGTTGGTATATGCTGAAGGCCTCTTCCTGGCTCACTGATAGCCATCTGTGCACTACATCCATAGACACCGGACAGGGTTAGGGAGCCCTCCTAAGTCTCTCCCACAGGACACTAACACTGTGAGAAGTGGCCACTGGAGGGACCAGTGAGGCAATGACTGGATGTGGTGAGAGCAGTTCCCCTGGTCTAGGTGCCATAGGGAACTGTGAGCGAAGGCATGCTAGGACTGCAGAGGCTGCGTGCTAAGCACTCTCTCCTGACATGAGAAGAGAGAGAAGATGCAGAGCAGTAGCTGGAGACAAAGCTACTTAGGCTAGAAATAGAGACCCAGCTGTGGGCTTACTGCCTGCCCAGCAAGCATTTTTCCTGTCATGTCTACATTAACAATAGTAACTTCTTCTAGCAACTTTGTTATGCAATACCTTCTTGTGAGCTATAGTCAAGTATTCTCACAACAAAAAATTTAGTTATAAAGGTGATGAATGTGTGAATTATTCTACAACATAGATATATTAAAATATTACATTGTACCCTATAAATATATGTAATTATTACTTGACAGTTATGGGAATGGTAGCATAGATCTGTAATCCCAGCATTTAGAAGGTTCAGGTAGGACAATTTTGAGTTCAAGGATAGCCTGTACTATATAACAAGACCCTGTCTCAAAATAAATAAGCCAGGTGCTCTTGGCTAATGGCAGTAATCCTAGTTACTCAAGAGGCTGAGAACTGAGGATCATGCTTCAAAGCCAGCCCAGGCAGGAAAGTCCATGAGACTCTTATCTCCAGTTAACCACCAGAAAACCAGAAGTGGTGCTGTGGCTCAAGCCACAGGGTGCTTGCCTTGAGCTGAAGAGCTCAGGGACAGCACCCAGGCCCAGAGTTCAAGACCCACAAATGACCAAAATAAAAATAAACACATAAATAAATAATTTCTAAAAAGGGAAGATTAACTAAACACCAGTGGTTCATACCTGTAATCCTGGCAACTCGGGATACTGAGATTTGAGGATTTCAGTTCAAAGCCAGCCTGGGCAGGAAAGTCCATAGTCTATAAGACTCCCATTAAACACCAAAACACACATACATACACACAAAAACCTAAACTTGGCTCAAGTAATAGTGTGTTAGCTTTCAGCAGAAAAGCTCAAGGACAGCATCCAGGCACCCGGCACACAGAGAGAAGGGGGAAGAGGGAGGGAGAGACAGAGAGGTTAGGCTCTGTTCCTCAAGCTCCCTAGTTCCTGTGCTGTGAGAAGCAGAATTTCACCAGTTGCCCTAGGCCTAGAGAGATTGCATCAGGTCAGAGAATGATTCCACACCCCCTTGCTGTTGGATTTGAGTGACTCACCTGCTTTCCCTTAGGGTGTTTAGAACCAAAGGACTGCCAGCAGAGCTGTGGGTAGGAGTATGAGGAAACAAGATCCTTCCTGAGACCTAGAGGACTGGGAATCTTAGACAGCCTAAGACTTGGAAGAAGTCAGGGCACAGTTCTGCTGTGATGGTAGTGAGGGACTAAGGGTTATCCTGCATCTTAAGAAGTAAGGACAGGGCTGGGAATGTGGCTTAGTGGTAGAGTGCTTGCCTAGCATGCATGAAGCCCTGGGTTCCATTCCTCAGTACCACATAAACAGAAAATGCCAGAAGTAGAGCTGTGGCTCAAGTGGTAGAGCAAAAGAAGCCCAAGGACAGCACCCAGGCCGAGCTCAAGCCCCATGACTGACAAAAAAGAAGAAGTAAGGACAGATAGGGCATCCTGCAGCAGGGTCATCCTGATTTGTAGGCACAACAGATGACAAGTGTGTGCCTGCAAGCTTCCACAATCACAGAGCTTCTAAGGGTGGTGACTTGAAGAGGCTGACAGGGCTCGGTCCCAGCAGCCATCTGGACTGCCTTCATAATCACATCTCTGTCTCTTCCCTTCCAGTCCTGGACACACAACATCCAGCGAGAGAAAGAGTTTCTGCGGAAGCTAGTGAAAGCACGTGTCATCACTGACCTAAGCAGTGGCATCTGAGTGGACCCAGCATTTGACCATAGAGGCTCAAGCTCCGCCAGGAGAAAGGAACAGCCATCTGTGCCTGAGTCTTCAGACCCAGAGAAGGACAGTGCCAAGGGGCCCCAGGAGCAGTGAAGCCTTGGCAAAGCAGCCAGAGCTATGTCTGTTCAAGGCCAGCCTCAGAGACCAGCACTTGGTCTCTTAGTCTGGGTCTGTGAAGCCAGAGGGCCAGGAGGCCCCGGATGTGCCCAGCAGGCTCAGCATGCAGGAAGCGGGACACAAGGCCGCATGGCTGCTGCTGGAATCATTTCTCTAAATCAGTGTTTGATGTATTATCATTTCGTGAATTTGGGTAGGGGGAGGGGAGGGATAATTTATTTTTAAATAAGGTTGGAAATGTCAAGAGTAGGCCATTTGCCTTGCAGAAAGAGGCCCTCTAGAGGGCTCATCAGGCAGTGGTACTAGTGAGCTCTCAAGAGTAGGAGTGCCATGTCCAGCCTGTGCCCCACTCAGGAGCCACAAGGAGGTGGGCAGCTTCTCATGCCAGCACCTTCCAGCCCATGATGTTTGGCCTTCCTTGGGGAGAAGATGGGTTTGCCCACTCACCAGCCCCCATGATGTCCCACAGGGAAACCCTGGAACCATCCCTTGGAGCCAACAAAATAGCCCCTGGGCTAGAGCAGAACTTTGTCAGGCTCAGGAAGGGAGGCCCAGCTCAGCCTGATGGGAATGGCTCTCCCCCACTCGCTGTATTGATCAGAGGACATTGCCCCTGGACTGACCAACTTGTCAGTTGTTCTGGGTTTCCACAATGAGACTGTCAGGTCCTTGGGTTCTGCCTCTAACCTGAACCAGAAAGGAAGTGAGACCCAAGGACCTTAACCAGACTGGAAGCCATGCCAGAGAACCCTCACGGAAGCAATAAAGCTCTTCCCTGAACCTGGCCTTCTTTTCCTTTCTCTGACTCTTCTGGAAGAAATAGGAACCAGAGCCTCGGCAACTCTGCTAAACCCAAGGGCCTTATCTCCAGCCAGATTCCTGGCTCTCTTTCACATCTCATGTTAAGTGCAGGACCTGGTAGCCACATAGAGGTCTCTAGAGCATCTCCCTATGTGCCATAGCTCTGTATCCTCTGCCTGAAGACAGACCAGCTGGAGGCCCTGGCACAGAGAGGCCCACAGACATGCCCACCTCCACCATTATCACATAGGCATGCACCGCCCCTCAATACCCCTGTACACACACACACCAAGCAAGAAGGTACACAGCCCATCCCTATGCATCCCCTGGAGAATTTTAGAAAAGATAGTCCACCCTCACCTTAGAGCCCTAGGAATTGACCTCTCATCCTGTACCTGTGGCCAAGGAAGTCGGCTTCCTGCAGGATGTTGGCCCTGTGGCAATAAGTGAGGTCTCAGTGCCAGTGTAAATCCCAGAATTGATGGAGCCCTTGGTCTCCCCACTGGTAAACCTCGAGATAAAAAGACGTAGCTGTCCTAGTCACCAGTCATTCTGGATACTGTGTTTTTATGGTTTGTCTTCAGGCAGAAGCCTCCTCAGCTCAGGGGAAGTAAGACCCTGACAGTGACAAGCAAATTCAGGAATACCTCCCATACTCTGCTGGAAATGGTCCCTCTTTCACAACTCAAATGTACCAGTACTCTGCTGGAAATGGTCCCTCTTTCACAACTCAAATGTACCAGCTCCTACCTGGATGGTTCTATTAGAATTTTGCAGGGCCTAGACTGCATAATTGTTAGTAGAGATCCTGAGTTTTAAAAGCCCCAGAGAAGCTGCTCCAACTGGCCAGCTGCTTACGAGAGAGCAAGCTCTCACCAATTGGCCTCCTGCCCTATGGAGCCTGCAAACAGCCCCTAGCAGCGGCATTTCTGTGTAGTCTGACTTAGACTGTGGGGAGTCTTGTACAGTCCCTGGCACTATATAAAACTCATAAAACTTATGGTTCGGAACCCTGGCTATGTACCAGAATCACCTGTGCCGATCTGGAAAACTACCTGCCTAGCCTGAGATTCTGATTCACCTCTGGGGTGGGGCCCGGATGTGGGTAGTTCTTCAAGATCCACAATGGTTCTCATGCATAGCCAGGGTACAGCTGGTCCACACACGTTCCCTGAGCACTTGTCCCCACCCACAGCTTCCAATTATGTGTCAGTTGGTCAGCAGTTCTCAGGTTGGCATCACCAACCCAACACTTTGCTCCAGGCTACAAAATTCAGCTGCTCCCAGAATATTTTCACTAGGAGAATACATGGGCCTTTCCAACTCAGCATGTATAACATTGAACTCAAAAGCTCTGGCTCCCAAACTGTGCCTCCCCCCAGGGAGCTCTGGCTTCCAGAATGCATCTGCCCCACGTGTTCACCCAGGACAACGCCCAGGCACACCTTTGCCCTTTTTACCTCTTCACCCCATCTAGCAAGGCACCAGCTGAATTTTCAAAAAGAGTATGTTGAGCTCTTAAGTTCCTTTGGTGGAGAGGGGAATACTGAGTTCAAACTAGGGTTTGAACTCGGAACCCTGAGCTCTCACTTGGCTTTTTTGCTCAAGGCAGCAGTTCTACCTCTTGAGCTCCAGTTCCCAAAAGGGTGTGTTGAAGACTGGCCTGCTCAGGCTCCATCTTCTGTCCCTAGCAACTCCCGAACGGTGCCTCTGTCTCCTTTGTGTCCAAGCTGTTCTCCACAGTCACCTCAAAAATGCATGTCTGACCACATTCTGCTCAGACCTCTTCAGTGGTCTGCAGCATCTTTGGGATAAGAGCCAGACTCCTTGGTGGGCCCTTCAGGGCCACAGTACTCCGCTAACCCCCCAGACACCTGCTGCATTGCCTGAGATCACGCTGTCTGGCCTCCGGCTTCCCACCCGTGCCGCCTTCACTACACCGCAGAGACCGTGGCCTTGCCCGCTGCCCTCCCACTGGCTCGGGGCGGCGGGACAACCAGACCCGAACCCGGAAAGCCCTAGTACACCTTGGTAAAGATGGGCCGCCCGGGGAGCGGGGGTCAGATGCGCTGCGTGGGGGGGGGGGGGTCCCGGGAGCGCGGCCGTCCTGCAGGGCAGCCGGCCGGGCAGCACCCCCGGTCCGCGCGGCAGCCAGCCCGGCCTGCCCTGGGCACGGGCCCCCCTACTTCGCGAGTCCACAAACTCCCTCCCAACTCCCGGTCTCCGTGCCTCGCGGCCGCCCGCGGTCTCTCTCCTCCCACCCGGGGGACCCAGGCCAGCCAGTGGGGGCCGGATCCGGTGGGTGAGGAGGCCAGGTGAGCCCTGAAAGGTGGGGCGGGGCGGGGGCGCCCTGGGGCCCCACCCCGGGATCCGGTGACGCCGGCGCTGGAATTTGACACCGGACGGCGGCAGGCAGGAGGCTGCTAAGGGATGGAGTTGGGCTCGGCCCCCAGACACGGCCCGCGGGCCCCGCCAGCAGCAAGTCCCTCGGGCCCCAGCCCTGGCTGCCACTGGGGCTCGGAGCCCCGCGCCCGAGGTAAGCCCGCCGTTTGCCCACCCCTAAAGTGGACGCTCCCGGGGCCGGGGGAAGGGACAGGACGGCCTTCCTCCTCTCGCTCTCATCCTCCCTCTCCCGGGCCCTCTCAGCACAGCCCTCCGCCCCTCCCAGCCCTTCCAGTCCCCGGGTTAGACTGTGCTAGCCCTGCTGCTCCGCTGCCACTGCAGGGCACGGACCGGCTGCCGCGGCCTCACTTTGGGCTAGAAGAGGTGCCGCCAGGTGCACAGCCCTGGGCATGAGCCATCCGAGCTGCCGGAGGAAGTCGAGCACTGGCCCCAGGAAAGGCGCCTAGAAGAAACCTCGTGCGGGACCCCCCGTGGTGAGTAGTGGGCCGGGGAGCGGGATGGCAACCGCGGGAGGACCCGGCAGCCGGCCTGGCAGGCAGGAAGAACGCCGTGCTCCTGGGCGCCCCCTAGCGCAGAGGCTGCCTGGCCGGGCCTGCCCTCCATCCCTGAGGCCGGTCCCCGGCCTGAGTCCAGTTAGCCAACAGACACGCACCTGGCCCTGGGGGACCATTTACTACAGGAAGTGGGCGGTATGTCCCACAGATGTGCAGCCATTCTATGTGTTGTGACCCACAAGGAGGAGGCTAGCTAAGGAGGCCTCGTGGCTTGGGGGTCCCCAAGGCTTGAGAGCGCAGGCCAGTGGGGCTCACAAAAGCTGGCAGCACTCAAGCAGGCTAGCTGGTATGGGGAAGGATGGTTGGTGGGGGAAACGAAGCACAAGGCTGGGCCCTACAGGAGGCTGAAGGAGAGGGCAGGCCTAAATCAGCTCTGAGAGTAACTCAGCTTTACAGCCAGGCTGCTACGGAGGGTTGGCTGGCTCTCTGGGGTGGGGGAGGGAAAGGAAGGGGGAGAGGCTGAGACCTGAGAGCTCTGAGGGTACTTTTAAAGCCCACCTCCCCCTTTGAGTTCTGCACGGACTGGCAGGCTCTGCCCCCTGGTGGCCATCAGAAGTCATGGCACAGTCCTTGTGTTTTCAGATGGACCATCAACCCCAGTAATCTGGCTTCTAAGAGACATCTGTAATTAGAAAAGAGGGCAGAAGTGGTCCAGAATAGAAATGACAAAGGAGCAAGTTACACAGGCCTTACTGCCATTAGATAACCCTCAGAGTGACCATCAGACACTCTTAATTCCCCAGGCCTTTGCTTCCTGCCCTGTGATGTAATGGCTCGATGTAGGACCTAGAATGGCCAGCTACTACCTCCAGCCAGTCCTGGAAGCTCCAGGCCTACACCACAGAGCAGAAATGTTCTGGCAAACAGATCCCCTCTCATCACAGCTATGTGGCTCTACACTTGTGACCTTAGACAATCTCTGACCTTCTTCTAGTCTTGTTTGCTAATCTGGAAAAAAGAAATTAAACCATTTACCCCATGAAGTTGTGAAAGAGGAAATAGCTCCATGTTACACATAAGTAAGGTTCACAATGCAACTACTTCTGCTGAGTTTGAATCTAGCTACCCAAATCTCCTAGCTTAGAGACACTTAGGTGGAAGGATGATCTCCCCAAAAGATAACTCATCCCTCAGTTTGCAAACCACATGGAGGGTTGGGAAACATGTCAACAAAGGCTGATGGGAGCTCCTGGTGTTGCTAGAGATGGAACTTGGACTTGGAGACCACACAGCTTGGAGACCCTACTGTCCCTGGCCTAATCGACAGGTGAGTGATTTTTCCCAGCAAATCCCAGCTGGTATCAAGAGAAGGTGACTTGATTGGGGAAGGAAGAAGATGGGACCTGGTCAGGGGTCAGATGTGAGAGGGGAAATAGTCAAGGAGGCTGGAACGAAGCGCAAAGAAGGAACAGGGCTTCTCTGGAAGGGCCGTGAGTCCAGGCGATTCTTTCCCTGGGCTCCAAGAAGCGGTGCACCCATTATTCTTGAATCTAAGCTCTTCCCGGACTCCGGCCACCCAAGTAGGAGCCCGCGCCCATCTCTGATCGCGACTCCCTGAGTTCCTCCCTCCGCAGCCCCGGCCCGGTGCCATCTTCTTCCTCCCTGACGCTCCACTTGGTTGGTCTCTTGCGCAGCCTGCCCTGTGGCCAACCCTGGCCGCCCTGGCTCTACTGAGCAGCGTCACCGAGGCCTCTCTGGACCCTGCACCCCGTAGCCCTGCCACCCGTGAAGGCCCCGCGCCAGTGCTGGCGCCCCCCACCGGTACCATCCCGGGTAGGTAGGAGCGCAAGAGGGCGGCCCAGGGATGGGGCTGGGCCAGGGCCCCCGCGTGTGACTCAATCTCCTTCCAGGGGGACATTCGGCGCGTTTGTGCGGCGCAAGAACCCGGCGGCCACCGCCACAGTCTCCCCAACCCGCACCGCCGCCGCCCGAGTCCCCGCTGCAGTCACTTCCCGCCGCTGCCCACCGAGGGGGCCGCGCGGCGCGAGCGGAGACCCGGGGGGCCCGGCAGCCGGCGGCCGGGGCGCGGAGCTGCCGCCTGCGCTCGCAGCTGGTGCCGGTGCGCGCGCTCGGCCTGGGCCACAGCTCGGACGAGCTGGTGCGATTCCGCTTCTGCAGCGGCTCGTGCCGCCGCGCGCGCTCCCCGCACGACCTGAGCCTGGCCAGTCTGCTGGACGCCGGCGCCCTGCGGCCGCCCCCCGGCTCCCGGCCGCTCAGCCAGCCCTGCTGCCGGCCCACTCGCTACGAGGCAGTCTCCTTCATGGACGTGAACAGCACCTGGAGGACCGTGGACCGCCTTTCTGCCACCGCCTGCGGCTGCCTGGGCTAAAAACGCTCTCCAAGGCCCTGCAGACTCAGCCTTCACCCGTGCATCCGCCTGGCCTGGGATCCCGACTCCCCAGGGCCAGCAGCTAGGCATGGGAGGCCTCGGAGCTGAGGTTCCAGCCTGGTGAGGGACAGACACCAGCCCTGGAGAGATGAAGGGACAATGGATCTGCAGCCTCAAAGCGCTCACCTTGCGATTCCAGCCCTACAGACACCAGAGAACTCAGCTATGGAGACCGAAGGACAGACTTCTTACAGACTCTGGCACTGGTCAGGCCTTGGACCTGGAACCCACATCCTCAGGAGAATTCAGCAATGGCCCCGGGCCCTAGAGGAACAGAATCTCCAGGAGACACATTGCAGTCACATGTCTGAAAGTGCCTGGTGTGCTGGTGCTTGTACCTACTCGTGGGAACTGGACCCCTATTTATTATTATTTCTAAGTTATTTATTTACCTTGCTGGTTTGTCAGATCTGTTTCTGGGCGCGAGGGATGGGTAGGAGGGGCTGGATGGAGATGTGCCCTGACTTGGCCAATGTCACATTTCACACTGACTCAGCAACGATAGGCCTGGCCCAGATCTCTTGCTGTTGCCTCAGCCCCCACTCTGGGATGGGAAGCTGAGAACGCAGCCGAGTGGGTAGCAGAGGTCTATTTGCAAGCCGCCCCATACCTTCTGCACTTAGGTTCTGTATTGCCCATGGGAAAAGAAACCACAGCGCCTTCTGTGAGCAGTTGTACTCTTGAGGACCCTGCTTTGTGAGGACACAGACAACCACGTGTTGCCTCTCCCCACTGTCACTGATTAGTGGCTTACCATCCAAGGAACTGTTTTGAAGGCACCTGACCAGTGCAAACACTCCCTCTGCTTGCATATGGTCCTGCACAGGGAGCTCACTACCATCATTCCATGAAGTAGCCCAGGGCAAGAAAGCATTTGAAGACAGGCCAAGGGTAGGAAGAGGGTACACTGGAAAACTGGTGTAGCATAATGAAGCACAGAGCTTTATCAGGAGGATACAAAGGCAGGAAAGAACAGAGGGCCCCAAGGGACCTACAGTTTGGGTGATAAACAGGATACTCATTTATTCATCCAATAAATACTGGGTAGGTACTAAGGACACAGAAGTGAAAAGAACATAATCCTACAAGGAGAGACAGACAAGTAATCCTGTGCATAATTATTTAAATACAATTTCATGAATAGTATGTAAAAGAACGGAAAGGTAAGAGGTACACACTTTCATCTGAATGGAATATTAGTGCTGGGGCTGGGAAGGTGACTCAGTGGTAGAGTGCTTGCCTTGCATGCATGAGGCCCTGGGCTCAATTCCTCAGCACCGTATAAGCAGAAAAAGCCAGAAGTGGTGCTGTGGCTCAAGTGGTAGAGCCCTAGCCTTGACATGAAGAGCTGAGGGACAGCACCCAGGCCCAAAGTTCAGGCTCCACAACTGACAAACAAAAACAACAACAACAAAAAAAAAAACGTGGAATATTAGTGCTGACCCTGGTCTTTCAGTCCCCAGTCACCTCCCAAAGACCAAATGATTGCACTGAGAGTTTTGGGATTGTTGTTTTTTTGACCAGTCCTGGGGCTTGAACTCGACCTGGGCACTGTCCCTGAGCTTCTTTTGCTCAAAGCTAGCACTCTACCACTTAGGCCACAGTGCCACTTCAGGTTTTTTCTGTTTATGTGGTACTGAGGAATTGAACCCAGGCTTCATGCATGCTAGGCAAGCACTCTACCACAAGCCACATTCCCAGCCCAATTGAGGGTTTTTTTTCCCTATGCCCTTTGCATTTGTATTTGAGAGACCCATGTGATTTTTCTTCTTGTTGGGAGGCAGTAGGATGTGGTGGCTGGAGTGGAGGAGGGAGGTCTGAGCATGGATCTGAGAGCTATCTGCACAGAAGCCATGGTCAAAGGATGATGAGAGCATCCTCAGAGTGAAACAGGGTTGAGGGTAGGGTACAAATCCTTCTGACGAATTTCTTCCCGTCTTTCCATGAGCCTGCCTGCTTTGGTACAGGTGCCCCATAACCCAAGCTAGTGAGGAGCAGCAGGAGCTCTGAAGGCTAGGCCCATTTGGGGTCAAGAAGGTAAGCTGCCTGCCTGTGCTTCCTCCTTTGTCCCTTCACTGCCTCAGATTCAAGATCCTAAGTTTACACACACACACACACACACACCAAAGAAAACAACACCATGTAGCCAAACATGGTGGCACACATCTGTAACCTATAATACTAATATTGGAAAGACTTAGACAGGAGGATCTTGAGTCAGGACCTGTCTGGGTTTCATATGGAGCCTTTATCTCAAATAAAATAAAAATAAAGCTGAGTGCCAAGGGCTCACACCTGTAATCCTACTCAGAAAGTTGAGATCTGAGGCTCTCAACTGGAAGTCAGTTTAGACAAGAAGGTCTGCAAGACTTTTTTTTTTTTTTAGCCCAATCCTGGAGCTTGAACTCATGGGTCTGGGCACTATCCCTGAGATTCTTTTTTTTTTTTTTTTTTTTTTGTCTTTTATGGGGCCTGAACTCTGGGCCTGGGTGCTGTCCCTCAGCTCTTCAGCTCAAGGCAGGCACTCTACTACTAAGCTACATTCCCAGCCCCTGTGAGACTCTTACCACCAATTAAACACCAAAAAAGCTGGAAGTAGAGCTGTGGCTCAAGTGGTAAAGCGCTATCTTTGGGCATAAAAAGTTCTGGGAAATAGGCAGGTGCTCATGGCTCATGCCTGTAATCCTAGTTACTCATGAGGCTTAGATCTGAGGATCATGATTCAAAGTCAGCCAGGGCAGGAAAGTTGGTGAGACTCTTATCTCCTCTAAACTACTCAGAAAAGCCAGCTTTTTTCCCCTCCCCTTATGGCTCAAGTAAGAAGAATACTAGTCTTGAGCAAAAAAAGTTCAGGGACAGTGCCCAGGCCCTGAGTTCAAGCCCCAGAACTGACACCAATAATAATAATAATAATACAATAAGCCAAAAGAGAATCTTGCAAGTTTGGGGCTGGCAAGAACATTCCACCAATTCTGGAGTGATCTGGGCTAGGGAGCACCCAGCCAAGGACACTGAAGCCCAGCCTCGTGTCCACATCCTCTAGGTCCTGCCAGTCAGTGTACATTGCTGCTCTTAGAGTTAGTCCAAGGAGAATGATGGAGGCCACCTTTGAAAATGCTCACAGATGGTCAGATGAGAGGCCATTCCAAGTGCTGGCTCTTGATACTGGCCAAATTGCCAGTCCCTGAGTCTATCCCTAACTCAAAGATACATTGTAGGCCCTGGAGAGCTTGTGCTCAACATCTCAAAGTACTAGAGGAAAACAACAACCTCTCCCAGAATGCATTTGCACAAGAAATAGCCTGTTTGCAAATCAGAACAATCCAGAGCCCTCAAAGGGAACAGACTGCAGAGCTGCCCCACCATGTCCAACCTCACAGAGTAACCTATTACATGATCACGTCAGGATGCCCATGGGGTCCTGAATCTGGTAGTGCCATTCACACTGGTCTCTGTTTCATATTTGTGAAACCACAAATATTTCCTCTTCAGTGGTCTAGAACTAGGGCATGGTTTTCAAAAGGGTATCCGTCTTACAAGACAGAAAACTATAGGCAACTTAGAAATGACTGCTTTTCTATCTACAGGAAACACCTCAACCTCTCTTCTCAGTCCACTTCGTCTGGATGGATTCATTGAATCATAGTTCCAGATTCCACTTGCTGCCCCTGCCCAAAGCTTCTGGGACTGACAGATGCTCTTGTCAATGACATTCTTTCTTGTCTGAGATTGCCATCTTGTCTCCATCTAGATAGCCCTGTGACACAAATTATGTGGATTAGCATTATTGACTGAAGTCTCAGCTTGGAAAGAAAAAGCTGGGTAGAAGATCGAGTATCAGAAAAAAGGTTTAAAAGAATCTGTGTCAGGTGATGGCCTATTGTCCACTAGAGTGGGTCTCAATCTGGGTTGGAGTTTTGGGGTCCTTCAAGCACTCAGTGAAAGCTATGTACCTTCCCTCCAAAGTGTCAGAAAGGTCACTAAAGCATAAGTCTGGTAAACAATTTTAGGAACATCTATAGGCTTTCTGAAGCTCATAGCCCTCATATACTGATATCTTATTCTATCTATAGTCAATGTCATGTAGCTGGATTGATTCCTCCATCTGTACTCAGGCAGGCTCCCATTATTTACTGTTATCCACTCTTCAATCTTTTTCTATCTTATATCTCCTTTCCTTCCATATTTATACTGGCTCAAATACATCCCATCACTTAAAAATTGATGTTGTGCCAGGCACCAGTGGCTCACACCCATAATCCTAGCTACTCAGAAGGTTGATCTATGGATTGTGGTTTGAAGCCAGCTGGTCAAAAAAGTCTATGAAACTCTTATTTTCAATTAATCACCAAAAAGCCAAATGTGGAGCTGTAGCTCAAGTGGCAGAGTATTAGCCTTGAGCAAAAAGAAAGCTCAGAGACAGTGCACAAGCCCTAAGTTCAAGCCACATGACTGGCACAAAAAAAAATGATGTTATGGGCTGGGAATGTGGCTTAGTAGTAGAGTGCTTGTCTAGCATTCATAAAGCCCTATCGGTCTGATTCCTCAGTTCCACATAAACAGAAAAAAACGGAAGTAGCACTGTAGCTTAAATGGTAGAGTGCTAGCCTTGAGCAAAAAGCTCAAGGACATTGCCCAGGCTCTAAGTTCAAGTCCTAGGACTGGCACACACAAAAAAATTGATGTTATGATGAGAGAGGGAGAGGGTGGTGGGGGGAATATGTCTGTTTGTCTGTTTGCACCCGTCCTTCATTGAAAGAGCTTTTGTCATGCTCACTGGCAGCCTCACCTGTTAAACCTTAAGTCTATTTCTCAGTTTGTAGTCCTTGGAATGCTCAAGAATGCTCAATGTAAGGTCCGCTCCTGGATGGCGAGCAGACTCCACCCTCCTCGCAGCAAAGTCTCCACCCAGTACCTGCGTTACCTAGGCAACTGGGACA